GGCGTGCTGCTCCTTCACCATGGCAGCAGCTGCGTCTGCAGGGGCAGAGGGGAAGCAGGGTCAAGCTTTTATTTCTGCAAGTGTGAGCCAGCACTGGCAGTAGAAATGGTCGTGGCGCAGCTTTTGATCCTGAGATCCTACAGCCGGAATAAAGGTTTGAAGGAAAACCCACTTTGCAGAGGCTCACATGCCCCTTCCAAGGAAATAAGACAGTTTTTCATAAACAAAACCAGTTCCAAGCGCTACTGGCACACATAGGAGGTTCTCCTCAATAAGGAAACTAACACAAAACATGAAGGCAAAATAGGCCCTTTATAAAACAGCAAACAACAAGAAATTCTAGTCCTGTTTGCATCCCTGTCACTGTCCACAACATAACCCACACAAGTTGCTGCTTTTGCACTTCTGCCTTCCCTCTTCCTATTTACCATCTATAATTGTTTAGAGTGTGAGTTTACCTAGAGCTCATGGTATTCTCACCGTGCATGGGGACCTTCACATCACCAGGCCCTGAAGAAAATAATGAGCAGTTTCTCACATCTAGTTCATACATATCAGGTAAGGTTCACTACCTGAAAGTCTCTCAGTATTTCCTCCCTGCCCTCTTCTCAGAATTCTTTGCCTTTACAATGTTTCATCAATGGATAAATTCCAAAGAACTAAAAGATTTCTACTCTCTGTTACCTGACTTGATGCAGACTCTGTTCTGCATCTTGGGACCACAAAGAAGACACAATGCTTCTCTGCTTTCATCCATGCAAAAAGCACCATGGAAATAATTTGCTGTCCAAGACTGAGTGCCAGCAATCAGCAAGGCAGCCGCAGACAAAACCAGGGACTGAGCTCACAGAGGATTCCAGATTAGGCTGATAGGAAGGAGCTCAGCCAGGTGGCAGCGGGAAATGCTCCTACCACTCACACACACTGGCAAGAGAAGCAGTGAAGCAAGATAGCAGCAAAACAATCAATCCATACTTAACCAAAGAAGACACTAACCATCAAACACTACGACAAGCACATTAAAAACATTTTCCAGATGCAGAGAGAAGCAGCGTGAACTGCCAAGACATACACACTTACCTTCGATTGTGCTGCCTTCCTTGGAATTTGCAGCATGCCAGGGGGGGAATCCTCTTGCAGCTTCTGTAGTAAAAAGACCGAGTAATTCTCCTGTGCTTTGTAACAGTGTGACAGTTCAGATGCCACACCACAAGCCAGAGAATTGTTTTCCTTAAGTGAGTTTGTAGAGCGCACACACACACACACAGAGCACAACTCGCACTGATGTGCCTTGAAACACACGGGCTTTCCCCGGGCCGCCCCCCCATGCCGGGCCCTTCGCTCACCGCTGTCCCGCTGCCCTCGG